GTAAGCTCGACGGGCTGCTCCGGGAGTGTGCCCCGCCAGAGGTACCATCATCTGGAAGCGGGATGCCCAATCCACAATGTTCAAGGCCATTCGACGTTTGCCGTTGTGGTCGGGCAAATAGATGGTGTCCACACCCACCACCTGGTTGACATGAAGTTGTTTAGGTGGTGCCGCTCGTCTCGCTGGTCGGGTAGCTGCATGTTTCTCGCACACCGGGCACCTCAAGTTCTTGGCTATCTTCACGGCCTCCTCAGACGCCTTGGCATCCTTGAGAATTCGAGCAAGACGGTCGTTTCCTGGATGACCAAGTCCTTCATGGGCTCGTCGAACCAAAGCTGCTACTGAGAATGGGCGTTCCCGTGGAAGTTGCCGGGGTGGCTCCTCAACCGTGTCCTCATTCTCAAGAATCTCGCCCTCGTCAACAGTGTCGTTCAGGACAGGGGTGTGGAAGATCTCGGTGATCGGCTTCGGCTGATTCTCCCCAATGTTGATCTTGTCCAGGTTGTAGATCTCCTCATAGATGCCACGTAGTCGATCGTGATCACGCCGGAGCTCGTTGACATCCGTCCACAAAAGGGTCATCGGGGTTCCCAGAGACTTCTTGTATCCCTTGAGGATGGCCTCCACCAATCGTGGGGGGTAATGTTGCGCTTGCTGAGATAGCGGTCCTCCACGGTCACTACCCAGTATAGGTTCATGCAGATGAGTCCCATCACATCTTTGAGCCAGTTGTTCAAGGATGGCAGGGTTGTTGGACAGAAATCCGGTAGGCTTCCGATGTAGGGCTCCAGATTGAGCACGAAGTCCATATTGGCACTGATCACAGGCTGCCATGTGGACCTCGGGCCGCTGAATCAATTTCTGCATCAGCACGTCCATCCATGCTCGAGAAGTCAAGGGATGCTCGAAGAGAAAGGAACCGCCGTACTTGAGCACTTCAAACGCTATCTCAATTCCAAACCTTAGCAACACCTTAGCTTCGATCAGCTTCCTGAGAAAACCTGGGTTCGTTTCAGGATCAGGAGATCGTTTCGTCAAGTTTTGAAGCAAGCTGAACAATGTGCATGGGGGTGAGATGATAACCAAACCGGGTTTCATTTGTTGTACATACCTTCGAACCTCTTGCCTCATGCCAGCTGATGTCAAGTCGTGTCCAAGCTTCAAATCAAATGCTTGTCCTGGGCAGAGTCCATACCGATCCAAACGGTCCTTAAAACGATTGGGGTTATACAGTTCCGCAACAGTTTTCAATTGTTTCTCGGTCCTTTGAAGCAGCCAGAGATATTTTTGACGGTTGCGGCGGTCTGCACAGCTAGAGTCACATCGAGACCAGGCCACGGATTCGGCTTGATCCGCATCTATGCGTAATAGGCTCATAAGCTCATTCCAGTTTCTTTCGGCCGACTCTAAAGCTGTCCGAGCTTGTTTCAAAGTACGGCGTTGTCGCCTATTCAGATTACCGGTCTCTTTGGACTCACAATCCGTCAGTGGTGTCTCCTCAGTCAATCGCTCTCGTTCCCCCCGCTCGGTGGCTGCTTGGACTGGCGCCACTTGCGGAACTCCAGGAACTCCTGGAATTCGTCCAACGTCTCCTTGGTCATCCGGGTTCGGACTGATGGGGCCGACTTGGCCTTCGATCCGCTGCTCTGGACACTCTCGCTGTCGGAGTGTTTGCTCTCCTTCTTCAGCAACTTCCCGCAGTCTGCACATCGTTCCTGATAAATTGAGCCATTGGTTCCCTGACGGGTCACTCGAGTGTGGAGGCATCGAGATGTCACCTCGCTGCCCGTTGGAGTGCTCGGTGAGCTCGGAATGGACATAGCTGGTGTCCCCGGCCGCGTGCTCCTCAGTGATGAAGCCTTGCTCACCAATGGCCTTGTTCCGGTCGATGATTCCGCATTCCTGGTCATGGGCTGGTACTGCATCTCGCTCCAGTAGGGTTGGTATAGTGTCCATGCGAAGAACTGACATTGGAGATTCCGTGGTTGTTGGCACCTCCAGAACAGACGGCTGTGATTCGGTCCCTCCTTGCGTGAGATGAACACCCGGCACGGCATTCCATGCTGGCATTTCGGTGGTGGTCCCAGAATCTTGATGTCGTCGTCCGTCACATAGTTTCCCTGAGTCACCTCGGAGATCTGAGATCCATCCATGCTCGATCCCGGTGACACCGGAGCCCTGAAGTTGACCGTGTAGTACTGCTTCGGCACCTGGTTCTCGGACTCGTTCCCGGCGTTGGGTACTCCTTCCCAACTGCCCATCTCGTCCTCCTCGGCAATCTCGGAAAGCGTCTCGCTGTGGTAGACTCCCGGCACTAGAGGAAATGCCGTGAAGGGCTGAACCGGTCTGGGACAGGCGAGTCCAGCCAGTCGGACCATCATCTCGGTCATGCGTGCCACCACGAAGAGCACCTTCATCACCAATCGTTGCCACGCCGTCATCGGCTCTGCTGTGGTGTCGGTGGCCGTCCTCGAACGCTTGGTGGTTCCACGGGCGTCCATGGCCGTCGTCGGCAGCATCAGGATCGCAGAAAACGGGCGCTTCCGGGTTACCTGCAACGGATGACTCTTGAGCAAAAACCTGCGTTGTTCTCAAGACCTCAAATTCGGATCCCTGGCTTTGAAACTGCTGCTGAGCTTTCTTGATTCGATTAAGCATGGCATCAGTAAATTGTGCCAGGGGAACCCTCAACGCTCCACTGGGGCCCAGATGACATTTAACTCGATATCCAAAACGTTTCAGTTCCATGCTCAACCCCAAGCTAGGATCTAAGTGCAGCACAGCCTTGCAGAACATCAAAAAGGGCAATGAGATCAAAAAGGGTGCATCACGAGATTCTGGATTGTCAAAAATCGCTGGTCGAAGGAGGCTCCCCTTGGAACCCAGACTGGTCGGGATCACTGCCGTATACTTGGTGGTTGAAGTTCCATGGACTGATCGAAACTTGTGTTCCTGCCTATTCAGCTGGGTCTGCAAACCATTGGGTAGAGCCTGGTCCAGTTTTTGAAGAGTATTCAGCCCAATTGCCATACGTTGACATCCTGTATCTATGGTAGCACAGAGTTCATCTGGGGTTTCATCACAATTCCAATCCAATTCCCGTTTAGCCTCATTCCAGAAAATGAAGGAAGGTTCCTGAGAACACACACCGGAAACATCACAACCACCACAACCACTAGCATCATCAACATCTCTCACACGGTCCTTATACCCTTGGCAAAAATTGGAGAATTCGGATTGGTCCAAAATCTGTACATGAGATCCTGCCGCATCTACGCAAAAGTCCCGGGCTTTTCCCGGGAAAGGCTGCACGTGCTCGTCAGTGATGTTCTTGTCCACCTCGACCGGTTCCAGATGACCGCAGAAAATTGCCTCCTCGGTCACAAGGGGGTTCTCGGTCTCCATCAAATTCACCTCCTTGGGGTTCGAAGACGTAGGCTTCCCTTGGTTTCGGGGACATTCGGGATCACGATGCCAATGTCCAATTTGACCGCACTTGGAACATTTTGACTTGGCCTTGGCCTCGCTCAGGGTCATGCGGTAGTAGCCACCTTTGACATAGCCTGAAGTCGCCATAGAGCTCTGTGACCTCGTGGTTGACGATCCATTCCGGTCCTTCCATTGGCCATACCCGCGCGCCAATGCTTTGGCCCTCTTCGTCTTCAGGCTTTGCATGAAAGTCTTCTTTTTAGAAGTCACCAGGGTGTTCAGGATCTCCTTGGCCTCGTGCTCTTCCAACACGTCCTCGATGTCCTCGGCGCCCAGCTCCGATTCATCTTCTCCGCAATCATCAGGATGAAGTTCGCGATAGATCTCCTCCATGGCACGTAGTTCGTCCTCCTCCTCCGGCTCGACGTTCGTCGTCGCCAACGTCTGGTAAGTCTTGTTGTTCACCTTGCGTTCAACTCCAACATCACGAGCTTGAAGCTTCATCTCATGTTTGCGGCACCATTCCTTCACATCATTCACAAGAATGGAGCCGCGACTAAAGGCCATCAGCGCCTTCGTGTCCTGCTCGCTCAAACCGAGCGCATTGATCAGCAGAAAGCCCAGGTAGCGATCCGGAAGTGTCACCCGGTGCTCACCAATCTTTCTCACTGAGTCATCCCACCTAGTGAAGAACTGCCGGCAGGTCTCTTCCTTGCCCCTCTTCAGGTGGTACGTCAGCTTTGAAAGCGACGAGAGAAGCTCCTCCTCGGTGTCCTCGCCGAAGTATTCAGGGGTGTCCATAGCTGCTAGAAGCCGATGTCCTCCTCTGGAGTCCTTGAGCCACTCCGAGTCTTTGGCCCAGTGCTTGAAGCTTTGGAAAGCCTGTCCACTCAGGCGTTGTAACATCACTGGGCCTTGGGTGTGTCCTTTGGCCCGAGTGGTCGCCAACCAAAGCCTTGCCTTGATTGCCCAGTCCTGGAAGTTACTGGAGCTGTCCCACTCTGGCGGCAAACCCGCACCCAGCCCCTTACCTCCAGCACCTCGTTCTTCTTCCTCACTTTCTGCGTCATTACGGTGACCTCGTCCTTCACGTCGGGGTCGTCCTCCATCTCTTCTTCGACTGGCCCTTTCACGGAGCCACTCACGAAACTCCTCACTGTCAAAACCGTCAGCCTCCTCATCGGAACGTCCGACATGGCTGTCTCCACGTTCTGCTGGTTCAGCTTCTGCTGCAGCATCACCTCCACCGTCTAGACTACCATGACTCGACGGCACACGCGCCGCCATGAGCGCAAGCGCCCCAGAGCTTTAAGCTCCGCTACCACTGTGAACGCAAACATGCGTGCAGCGGACCTTTTTCCGCGTAGACACCCAAGGCCCAATTGAGCCACAACGTCTAATGCAGTTCGTCTCAGTGTTGCGACGCCACACAGGCAAGCGAAAAGAGATTTCAGCCAAGACCTGACCCCAATTCACAATAATATATCTATGTTAAATACATGCTGTTATAATGTATTCAGAATTCATAGATGACCTTTGCTGTAAATATCTGAGATCTTTTCCAATGTTGCCTGTAAGAGGAGCCAACGCGACCTCAGGTGAAGCACGAAAAACATGACAGACAACAGTGACAGGATGTGAAAAAACAGACTGATCGCATGGTCGCCACTGGTCTACTGATGCCAAGTCGCTCTTTGGCATCTGGAGCACTTTCCTTCTGGATTACCTTGGCCTCAGGCGAGGCAAAGGACTGATACATTGCAGACGATTTTGTCAGATGCTGTCATGTGCTTGTCTTATGTGTCTAGCTGTCCCGGGTTTTTGTCACCAGGCACCAGCAGATTCAGCAATACAACTGACACCACCGTGGGAGTACAAGGTGATGGTTGGATGGCATATTTGCGTGCAATGATCTTCGTTGCGGAACCTTGTTCTGCCACCACGAGAATCCAAAAAGCTTCTTCAGCAGATTTGACGGCAAGGAAAACAAAATGGGGCAGTTCGTATTCGAGCGCCCCTTCCCAAAGGTCCATGATAGTCTTTGGAGCATTCTGAACATTCTTCCAAGAAAGTCGAGTTGATATGAAAGATTTTGATCGAGCCGTTGCTTCAATGCCATGTCCTTCCAACTGATCCAACTGCTTTCGACACTTCAAAATCTTCAGAAGGCGTGGCCACGCTGATCTACGTTCTGTGGCTGGCCGAGGTGGTCGAATCGATGAGCCTCTTTGGCTCAAAGATTGAATTGCGCTCTGCACATCTTTCAATTCTTTCCAGTCCTTCACTTGGCCAAGGTCCATCTTACAACTGACAACCCGGCGCTGGTCTCCTGATTGGATTGCAGTGGTGATGACCAAGCTCTCTCCTTGAAGTTCATCTGCGGACCAAGAGCCGCAGTCAAAAAAAACGAAGCCTTTTTGATCTCGATCCAAGCGGATCCAATCGTTCGTACCTTGAACCACTCCCGCACACGCTGCGCAATTCCGCATGATCGGAGTGACTTTCGTGTCACATTCCGTGAAAATCATTTCAGGTGCCGTTGTCTCAGATGTCTCGACTGAAGATTCCGATTCCAAAAGTTGCTGTGTCCCTTGGTTTTTCTCAGAAGACCATCCCTTCCAGCTGCCCAGCACTTGATCGCAGAAATTCTCAAACGACGGAGCCACAGCACTTGATCGGACTGACGTCTTCGCCCTGACGACCTTTGCGACCTTTGCGACCTTTGCGACCTTTGCGACCTTGGCCCTTCGGAAAAAACCCAGCGACGTGAGCAAAGCTGGAAAAGTTGGAAAAGTGGCAAGTTGGGAACCCCTGGACCAATTGGAAGTTGGCCTGCAGAATTGGCACCTGCAGCTTGAAAGGTTGCAATGGGAATGGGGACCCAGTGAACTAAGAGAAATCATGGAGCTCAACGGCCGCATGGCGTTGTTCACATCTGCAAAAGCATGGGCGGCAGAGCCAAAGGCAAGCTTTGCATCTACAATCATGTTTTTGTTTCTTGCGTCCCTTGTAGAGTGACCAACATATCAAGAAAATCAAAACCCGACGCGGTTTCAAATGAAAAAAATACACACTTGGACCTACACAGAGCCGAGCATGGCACTTCACCACGGGATATCTGCTCAGCACCACCGCTATTGCAACCCTATGTGTTGTTTACACGGATTACACCTTTTGTTTTCGCCCCTACGTTGGATTCTGCAAGCATCTCATATTCCGGAGATATTCTGGGGCATCCAACATTGGGCGATTCTTTGAGCCTCGAAAGAACGCACTACACGTGGAAGACGTGCTGTTGATCTTTGTTCTGCTTATCAGATTTTCTGCGTTAATCATCAAGTCAGCGTATTTAAACAAAGGGTTCATTCATCAAGCAAATTGGCCTAAATTGGCCAACAAGTAGGACTCACTAGGACAAACACAGCAAACAAATAAACTAAACCCATTGTCAAGCAACTGCATCTCATCATTGTGCAAAACCAAATGAGAAAAGCAATGTGAAAATATGTGAAATCAGGACAAAAAGCAAAGAGACAAATCAAACAGAAGAATCCCCACAAACGACTGCATGAAGGAGAGTTGTTCCATGTTGTTCCCTGAAAACTCAGCGACTTGCCGGGAAGATCGCGCCCTCTGTGAAGCGGGTCGCCTCGATTGGGCAACGCTTCTGAAGCAGCTGCAAACAGAAATATCAGAAATGAGAACGTCGAGAACGTCGAGAAGACCTAAACAAAGTCTGATTGTTCTGACAGCAAAGTACAGTAGTCTTTAGAGAAATGCCGAAGATGGGCTTGACCTTGTTGTGCTGTGTTCTCTTCTGTTCTCTTTTGCTCTACCATGGTGTGGACGTGCCAGCTATGTAGCTGTGTGAGTGGGATGCGTGGTTGGCGGCATCGAATGTTGATGCTTTGGTATGGTATGGTGTAGTACAGTATGGCATGGGGTGGCATTTGGGGGTGTGGTGTTTGGTGGTGCTTGGCGTGGCCTGTTGTGGTGTGCCATGGTGCGTCGTGTAGCACTGTCTTGTGTTGTTGTTTGCTCTCTTGTGCGCTCTTGTGCTTTGTTTGTCTGTGTTTGTGTATGTCTGCATGTGTTTGTATGTGTTTGTATGCGTTTGTATGCGTTTGTATGTGTTTGTCCGTTGATGTCCTTCATGTTGATATGTGAAATCAAAACTGCATGGGGAGGCACTTGTTTATTTCGAGAAAGAACCTATTCCATGTAGAAACTCTGCAGACGAAACATGTAAAGCTGGTTTCGCAGGAAAGGTCCAAGGCTTTAGCGCCAGCTGTGCACGGAACTCCCTCCAAGCAGCCAGACCTCATTTGGGCGCGGAGGGAGGACAAAATCCAGCACAAAGATGCGCAGACTGCAACAAGAAAAATCAGGCAACAGGAGAACTTCAGGAGAACATCATTGACGGTGCATTGACGGTGCATTGACGGTGCATTGACGGTGCATTCTGCAAGGCCGCTTTGCTTCCGCACATTGGAGAGCCATTCGGCGTGCAATCCTCAAACAGACGCAGCTGAAGGGTTGAGGTCACAGGTGGCCCAAAGCCGGGTCCGCCTTTTGTCATTTCACTCCTTTGTCATTGTTGGAGTATGGCCACAGCCAAAGCATGGCGAATGGATGTGAATTGTTTGTCGTTGTGAAGCCCGATAGACATGGTGAGAACTGTGAGACAAGTACAACTACAACATACTACAACCATGATGCCATGATGGAGAACTAAGACCATCTAAAACAACAAAACGACAGTGCCACAGATGCCACAGGCCTGCAGCTCAACTGCAAGGCCTTTGCGCCGCTGCGCTCCACACGAGACTTGCCCCGGGCCTTGGATTTCTGTGGGAAAATCTCAGGAGAAACTGAGAAACTGCTGCATTTTATGAAAACTGCTGGCCACCTGAAACTGTTTGGGAAACCATTTGGGGTCGTTTGGGAAATTTTGGGAATATCTCAGATTTGGAACACTTTTTTGAACTTGAACATGAAGAAACATGAAGAAACAGGATGATTTCGGAGAAACAGGTGGGGTTGTCTTAACTGCACCAGGGACCCAGGCACTGGGCTTCGTTCCAACACTTCCAACGCTCAGCGTCGCCTTGCCTCACGTCATCGACTGGTCATCCCTGTCATCCCCACGGTGCCCGGTCGGCACGGCCGTTTGGCACCTCGCCTTGTCCCCGATCGCCCGACATGGCCGACATGGCCTCAGCTTCAGCAGCTTCAGCAGCTTCAGCAGCTTCAGCTGTCCCTGGAGTCTTCCCATTTCTTTCTCTTTCCACTCCGACTCTTTCTCTCGGACTAGATCTCTTAGCTTCCGCGCCGTCAAGTGCCAAGCACAGAAACTGAGGGCGCTCAATTCGGAGGTTGTGGCACCTCGGTTGAGAATGACGGCGACGGCTACGAGCGATGCAGCGATGCTGTTATTTGTCGAGGCACAAGGAGCCACTCCGAAGGGCAAATGGGCGCCAAGCACCTACAAAATCGCTGGGTTTGAGTGTGGTATAGAGATCAACAATGCCAACAAAATCCGACAAACTAATACACAAACAGGAAATATAGGCACGCATGGATTTTGCATTGTCCATTTCATAAATTTCAATTACCATTGTCGCATCATTGTCATCATTGCCCATGTCCGTTGTGCATCTTGAGTCGGGACCCGACCAACCTGCAAGCCAGCCAACGTAGCTCTTGTGTCCGCGAGTTGGTGAGATCGTCCTAGGAGTGTTGAAATTGCTGTTCAAATCTTACAGACTGGGTATGATAAATTGGATCTGTGGAAATTCAGTACCCTGTTGCGCCTGTTGCTCCTTCATATCAGAATGAAAGATTAAAATCAAGACCTTTTGGACCATTCCATCAACCAAACAGATCCTGATCTGGGGACATATCCATCAGTTTGGCTGTCCAATGCTGTTTACACATGTTTAGACTATTCCGACTATTCCCACTTTGAGGCACCAACGCTCTTTCAAGAGCCGAAGTCTCATGCTGTTCAGCTGGAGTTGGTGCGCCTGGTCGGATAGCCAACCGAATGTGACATGTGTGACATGTGATGCCTTGCAACGAAGAAATCCAGGAACGACCTATGTGGCGTATGTGGATTGAAAGGGGACAGCGGAAATTGAACCAGACTCTGCAAAAAGCATTGGGAACGACTTGGACAATCCCCCTGGTATCCACTCTATTTTAACAGCATCGCCCTTGCAATACCACGCATGGGTTGGGGAGCACCATTTCACAAAAAATCGATTACACAATTACAGTCTCATGATCTCAGCTGCGACTAATGACTACTATGTACACAACTCGTCCGAGTCAATCAAGGCATCCTGTACTTCCATCTTTGTCCTCCCAAATGGAGGAAAGAAATGCAGGCGATACCGGCGATACCCCATGGAAGTGCTTTTGGCCCTTCATTTGGGCAACTCAGAGGAACACTTCGGAGTTTAGCACCGCAAATCGTTTTCGGTCGCAAGAGCTAATCCTGAAGTTCAAGAGCTGGGTCAGTGCTGGGGTAGTGGAGGTACTCCCAAAGTCAATGGACCAGCTCGGACCACCCAAATGTGAAGCTATTTAGCAATTTCAAGGGTTGGTGATGGTCGAGGTTTGCCAGAGAATATTTTAAAAAATACAGAAAAACAGGGAAGAAAAGCATGGCAGAAAGGTAGCAGAAAGGATCATGAAGGATTTGAGACGAGACTTTGATTGGACAATTTGGACAAGGATCTCTTTCATATCTGCGTCGCTGAGCTGGAAATTGAAGACATCGATGTTCTCTGCCAGTCGGGCCTTTGAACTGGCCTCAGGACATTCGGGACAGTGTCAGAACTCTCTGAGTTTCTGGAGCTTTCTGAGTTGAGCTGAAAAAACTTCAGAAAGAAACGGAGAAACGGACATCAAAGGTTCAACTGATTCAACTGATTCAACTGATTCAACTGCCTTCGGAATCGGCGTGGTGTCGCGCTGCAAGTGCCACCTCAAGATCAGTTGCCTCAGCTGCAGCTTCATCCAATGGAAACAGTAGAACTCGCAACTCAGTACCTGATACAACCAGTAAAGTGGCACTGTCAATCCACCATTTTCAACAGACAAATCACTGAGAAATGGCAGATAAATATTATATATACATAACTATTATATATATATATAATATATCCCCACACGTTCACATCTCAAGAGGAGCACGACTTCACAACATGGCGACAGCATCTTCCAGATGAGCGACGCAGGCGTTTTCCCGTAGACGGATGCCATCTCCTCGAGGAAGGGCATCTGCAGCAATTGATCTGTCACCTCACGATGGACTAAATACCGGCAGTATGCGAAACAACCGAAAACATATGAAAACCTAAGAAAACCTAAGCAGAATTGCATCAGAGTTGCAAAGAAAACAGCTGAAACATACATTTACTGTCATTTACTGTTTTCAGTCCTAGTATGAATGAGTTTCAGGTGGATCCAGAAGCAGTGAAACATACTTGAAACAGACTTGGTATCAGCAGCGAGGAAGCAAAACATAGCAACATACAATGTAGGGCCCCCTAGATAGCTAAGTTGGTTTATAACTCCAATAACTATGGTGTTTATAATTTCATATACCAACTTACAACTGGGGGGGGCCACATTGTGTAGCAACATATAGGCTGGACGGGGGGGGTTAGCCCCGTTTTTACTGGGTTGCTTTTGGGGTTGGGGGGGGTGGGGTGGGATGTTAACGTTCATGTTACGCTGATGATGTTACGCTGATCATCTGGGGTTGGGGTGGGGTGGGGTGGGATGTTAACGTTCATGTTACGCTGATGATGTTACGCTGATCATCTGGGGTTGGGGTGGGGTGGGGTGGGATGTTAACGTTCATGTTACGCTGATGATGTTACGCTGATCATCTGGGGTTGGGGTGGGGTGGGATGTTAACGTTCATGTTACGCTGATGATGTTACGCTGATCATCTGGGGTTGGGGAGGGGTGGGGTGGGATGTCAACGTTCATGTTACGCTGATGATGCGCTGATGGGGTTATGTTAACGTTCATGTTGATGACGCTGATCATCTGGGGTTGGGGTGGGGTGGGATGTTAACGTTCATGTTACGCTGATGATGTTACGCTGATCATCTGGGGTTGGGGAGGGGTGGGGTGGGATGTTAACGTTCATGTTACGCTGATGATGTTACGCTGATCATCTGGGGTTGGGGTGGGGTGGGGTGGGATGTTAACGTTCATGTTACGCTGATGATGTTACGCTGATCATCTGGGGTTGGGGGGGGGTGGGGTGGGATGTTAACGTTCATGTTACGCTGATGATGTTACGCTGATCATCTGGGGTTGGGGTGGGGTGGGGTGGGATGTTAACGTTCATGTTACGCTGATGATGTTACGCTGATCATCTGGGGTTGGGGTGGGGTGGGGTGGGATGTTAACGTTCATGTTACGCTGATGATGTTACGCTGATCATCTGGGGTTGGGGAGGGGTGGGGTGGGATGTTAACGTTCATGTTACGCTGATGATGTTACGCTGATCATCTGGGGTTGGGGTGGGGTGGGGTGGGATGTTAACGTTCATGTTACGCTGATGATGTTACGCTGATCATCTGGGGTTGGGGTGGGGTGGGGTGGGATGTTAACGTTCATGTTACGCTGATGATGTTACGCTGATCATCTGGGGTTGGGGAGGGGTGGGGTGGGATGTTAACGTTCATGTTACGCTGATGATGTTACGCTGATCATCTGGGGTTGGGGAGGGGTGGGGTGGGATGTTAACGTTCATGTTACGCTGATGATGTTACGCTGATCATCTGGGGTTGGGGAGGGGTGGGGTGGGATGTTAACGTTCATGTTACGCTGATGATGTTACGCTGATCATCTGGGGTTGGGGGGGGTTGCTACGCTCAGAAGGTCTTGGGGGCAGTGTGTGTGCACTTGCTTTCGATGTTGATGGTACGCGAAGAACGTATTTGGGGTTGGGGGGGTTGGGTCTGTGTTAACTGTATGATATATTTACTGTATTATATAATTATATATTTACTGAATAATATATACTTGTCAGGATGATTTGTTTATGTAAATTTCACCGGTCATGTCTGCCTGCTACCTGCGCTGCAGGTACGCATCTCAGATGTTGGGGCTGGGCTGCATTGGTGTGTCAGGGCTGGTTGGAGTTCTTGGTTGCGTGAGAGTTCGTCAAGTTTGCTTAGACATATAAGTTTCCAAAAGTAGTTCGTAGTTACATGGTTCAAACGCAAGAAAGGGTTTAACGCGAATATCATGGGAATGTCATGCTTGTCTAGCACAGCTTTGCTTGTGTAGCTCGCTGCTGGGCTCTGTTTCCATGGATCCGCTTCTGTATGGTGTTACATTGTTAATTCTCCTCCGCGCAGCTCATGAAAAGTTTCCACCTGTCTGTGTTCTTTGGTCCTTTTTGAGCACGGAAGAACTGTGGGATGTTCACTACATCTTAGCGTTGAAATGGCATGGGGATGCTGGAGCTGAGACCACCTTTGCTGCAGTGGAACGAGTGTATCATTGGACGAGCCTTCGCCAGGGTTTGTCGGTTCTCAAGGAAATTTGGTTTCGTTATGTGAAAGAACATAGGCCTCTGCCAGTGAAAGTTCTTCAACAAGGTGAATGGTTGCAGAAGCGGCTACGTGGAACAATGCCGCAGAGCTTTCCTGACTCAGAGTTGGCTGAACCTTGGGACTTTCAATGTGAAATGATGTTGCAAAATTTGCTGGAATCTGGGCAGCCCATTGAGCCGCTTTCGACTGCAGGACGCAGAACTCTTGAACATCCACCCTCCGTGATTCCTGTTTCTGAGTTCGGTTTTAGTTTTTTTCTTGACATCTTACTTTTCTTCCTTAGATGACCTCGTTATCATTTCTTGTCGGATGCCGAAATAGACGAAATAGACTTTGTACTGTCATGTTCGTGACGTTCAAACTGTTGTATCCTAGGTCTGTGAGAGCCCGGAGATTCGAAGAATGTTGGCTCCTACGTTGACTTTGGAATCGGAATCCGAAAGTCAAGATGCTGAAGGAGATGCATCGTCAGCTAAATCGGAAAGTTTGTCGCCACCGCGCTTCCAAGGTGGAAAGATTATCGATAGTCCTATAGCTTTGCGACAAAAACTCGATTATCTTTTGAAGCACTCTGTGAATGCCCCGCTTCTTGGTTTGTTTTTCGAATTGTTTTCCAAGGATTTGTACTGTCAATTCTTTCCCTGATGCATTCATTTGCATTTGAGAATGATGAATCTCAGGTTGCCCTCAGCTTCTGCTGCCGAGCTCACTCACTCATCTTCGGCTGCGTCTTCGTCTGGCGGCCCTATGTCGATGCTGCAGCGGGCTGCGCTCTTTGAGGACCGTGTCAAACCGGTCGCAGATGAAGATGGAGCGACCTCCCTGCCTGACACAAAATGGGGTAGATGCATGCGGGCAGACTGTGGATATGCTTTGTCGCCGCACCTTTATGCTTCTGGTCAATTTGCAGGACAGATTCGCTTGCTTTGCAATAGGTTCAAGAAAGTGCAAGATGGTAAAAGAATGTGTTTTTTTTCCGCTCCTGTTCCGAAAGACAAATGGTCGGAGCTGCCCAAGTTCATGAGAAACAAGTATGCAGAACTCCCTGCCAGTTTGCGCCGAAACACTGAGCGCGATGTGTGAAGAACTTTGTGCCAATCGGAAAAAGAGCTGCTGCTGCGGTTTGTTTGCTGAGAGATCTTTGCACCTGATGAAGAATGAAGCATGAAGTTTCCGCAGAATGAAATGGCCTGTCAATCGCGAATATCATGGGAATCAATTCAAACCACTTGGCCATGACTCTGATACCTTGACTGCAGACACACCTTGCACGTTTCTCCCAGTCGCCAGAATTTGGTTGGTGAAGTTGTGGGTGCCATGTGTTTCACTAGGTGTGAGGTTTTTTTGAGCAAGCCAGTGGCCATTTTCCACTCATGTCACGTCTTTTTTGCAAAGCCTTTTTAGGTCCGAGTTTCACACAGGGAACGTCCAATGAAAAAATCCCTCGGACATGATAGATATCCCTCTGGGCGCAAACGACCTCCGAGTCGCACCATCGCTACGAGTTCTGGTGTCAACAGAGAATTTCACAAGAAGGGTCTCAGCTATTCTCCCGGAATCCGTGGGAAATTCAAAAAGTACCGTGCTTTGCGAGGTCTCAAGCAGATTGACTTTGCATCCTTAGCCTTGTGGTCTGAAATGCGGTGCAAAAAATACCTGGAAGCCAAAGGTTTCTTCGGGGTGCAGTGGGGACGTCAGTGCTGGAGATGTCAAGCATCCTTGAACCAGCTTCAACAAGATCCTGCCTTACTGCGTTGTTCGAACCGTTCTTGTCCAGCACTGCGACCTCGCATCTTGGTATGGTTTCATTTTTTTGGATCCATCGCAAATGATATACGCATGTTCACCTAGTCTTCGACTTGTGCGTTTTTCAGTTGTGGCCGTTCTTGCCTGTAGGTATCAATTGGAAATTTGGCTACACACCCTTCATCAACCGACTGAGAGGTGGACATGAACCAGACATGCAAGGCTTCGTACGTACGGTTTATTGTGTCAGTGCTAAGATTCCTCAAGATGCAGCTGCGCACATTGTTGGGCGATCCCATGACTATGTCGATTCCATTTACAAGCAAGCTCGCATGGTGACAGGTTGGGCTGAGTTTCAGAAAAACAAATCCATGACCTTTGACGCCGGAATCCTGGAGGTAGATTCGTGTCGTACGGCAACCAGAAAAAACAAGGTGGGGTCAAAGAAACGAAAAATGACAAAGAAGCCAGCCGGGAACACGGTTGCCAAGAAACCAACTTCCAAAGTGGCAGTGCATGGTGGTCGGTTTCTAGTGGCTGTCAGCAGAAAAAACAAACAAAGCGCTTTCTATCCTTTGCCTGACCGCTTCACGGCTACATCTGCTCCTGGCCCGCCAGAGACTTTAGACGAAGTTGTGCCGCTCTTGCAACACAAAGTGAACCCCAGCAAACACATCCTGGGCTCCGATGCCTCCAAAGGATTGAAGGGAGCTAGAAAAAAATTGAACTTGGAAGCAGTCACTGCTAGACATAGCTTGTCAGAATACACACCTGTACAGTCCCTCAAAAAGAGAAAGGTTTCCACAACAGCCTTGAAAGCCATTGGCTGCAAAGCAGCTCAAACTGGCCGGCATAAAGTAACCATGGTCGGAGGAGACCAGGTCGCAGAATCTCACACCGCTCTGCTGAAAAAGCAGCTGAGACGAAACAATAAGCTTGGAGGCCTCTCATTGAAAACTGCACACGTGGATGGTTTGTCAGCACTTTACATTCACAAGAACTTAGGCCTGGAAGCGACTATGATGGCGTTCGCTCAATTCATTGCCCACATGACTGACAAAGTCAGTCATGTGAAATGTTTTGAAGATGTCTCGTGGATGGAAGACAAGTGAAAAAAAGGGCTCAACATGCAAATGTGTCGCCGCAACAAACCCCTGTAAAAGTCAATGACACAACATAACCATGTTTGAAAATTGTCATTTCGCCACGGCGAAACACTCCTTTTTGATCATGTGACTTTGCCTTTGACACATCAATGAAAAAAAGAGCTCAAAATGCAAATGTATCGCGGCAACAAACCCCTGTAAGGGTTGCTCCCAACATCCATTTTTTTGAAAAAATGAAAGTTATGTTGACACTGCTAAGCAGAACTCAAGTCAATGACACATCATAAGCATGTTTGAAAACTGCCATTTCGCCACAGCGAAACACTAATTTTTGATGATATGCACTTTGCCTTTGACAGACAGACGAACCAAAACAATTGGAAGCGGGGCTAACCCCCCCCGTCAACCCAACATATAGCAACATATAGCAACATAGCATTCGGCAAACATCAAAACTCACACCTCTGGGAGTTCTGGGAGTTCTGGGAGAATCTGAACCAATCAATTCTTCGGAGGCCATGCCTGGTTCGGATTTCCTTTTCCGCCCAGCGGTGAGTAGCCATTGACTCGGATGCCCAAATCCTGAGAGCTAAAGAGAAACATTCCACTGAGGTTTTTTTTTCGGCCAAAATGTTGATATCTTATGTATCGTTATGCCAATTTTCAACACAAAACTCAGGTATGTTTGGTTGTTTTTTGCTTGTTTTTGGTATTTTTTAATCACTTGCCTGGCACATCTGCACCAACTTCTCGCGAGTGTTGAAGGGATGGATTTCAAACTGGCTGGCCATGGGCCGAATCTGGGCATAGTCCAACAGCTCTCCCAGGTGCCGTTCGTTGTAATTGGACACTCCGATCTGCTTTACCAGTCCATCCTTAAACCAAAACGAAACATGGCACATCATGGCACACAAAAAATCACACAATTCTGAAATCCGCAGCAAAAAAGGTCGATCTGTCTAAAAGTCTAAACATGTGTTTCTAGTTTCACAGCTGTTTCCTCTGTGAGAAAGAAAATGAAAGAAAAATGAAAGAAAGTGAAAGATGTTGCACAACTGTTGCATGTTTCATCATGTTTCTCTTCGAGTTTCTCTTTGCAAATCTTCCAAGGCCTTCCAGGTTTGCTGCCGCAGTATGGCATTCTGTTGCGCCAGCTCAATCTCAGTACCGATGCCAGGCCAGTGGGGCAAGACCAAATCGATAGACTCCAGGCCCAGTTTTTTCGCCGATTCCTGTAGGTCTTGGATGGTCTTGGCAGCTTGGGATCGGGGATGGCATTCGTGGCTGATGGCTCCAAAATCAATGGCTTCAAATGCTTCAAGCAGATGTGAAATCTTGTCGGATAGCGTCGAAATTCTGACCTTCTGAAAGGTTCGACTGTCTGCAAACTCATCCCATCGCACGGAACTGGGCCTTGACGGATTCAATTGTCTTCTTGTAGCCGTAGTTGGCAGGCCACACCTGCCAAGTATCAACGGTCGTGTTGACAACTGTCATCCTGTCCTGAAATCGCATGAAATCGCAGTCCCAGCCTTGGTTGTCACAAACACTTCGTCGCGCTTTACGCGACCTTCGGCGAAAGCTGCTGACAATGCCCGTCCAATGCCCTCCTCATTTCCTCAGACTCGTCAGGTGAAAATTGGGTCGATTCTTGATGGAACTTCTTCAGGTTCAATTCAAACCGAGCCACCGTACCTTTGAGCTGTATCAATGACTCTGTAGCCACACTCGAGAGCAGTGGTAACTTGCCTGAGGTTTCCAATGAATCAAGGGTTTGGAGAAGCTTATTCAGAACAGGAAACGCACATCAATTCCAGATATTCAGGATATTCATGGATATTTGGATATTCGTGTATGTCCCAAAATTCGAAGCCATCAAAACATATCAAACCTACATGTGTTCCATGGTCCTGTAGGATATCGGCCCCAAATCTCAGAGATCCAACCTGGTCACGTCCTTGTCAGACACCAAGCACGTGCCAAGGCCTTGAAGGAAATGTGAATCCACGTTCCAATCCTACACAAAAATGAAACGAGTTGAAACTTTCGACATTTTTCAACATCTTTCAACTTTCTTTTGAGATGTTCTGTGATCTTCGTCTTCATCTTCGACCTTTGCCTTTTAGCTGAGGGCCCGTTTCCTGGGGCATCCTGGGGCTCAGGCCTACAGTCAACGGCAGCTTGCCCCCTGAGATCAGCGCAGCAGGTGCTGCCACCACCACGCGGCGCGGCAGCGATGGCGGCGTTGGCGTAGCAGCCAGACTGGTGAAGCCCAACCAACTGAGGAGACCAATGAGACCAACACCACAGAGACCGAAACGTCGCGCCATGGCGTCCACAATGAGCTCTGAAAATGCCACGGAATGAAGACGTCTGATGCCATAGATATCCACAGATTGGCATTTTGGTCAAATGAATGGCGGAAAGATATTGGACCAAGATGGACAAAGCGCGTTTCAAGGTTCGAGTCGCCTGGTGCGCTTTGCATGCGTTCGCAGAGGCCTGTGCAAGACGTGAAAAAAAGCAAGCATCCAGGGGTGTAAAACGTGTTCCTACAGGGGAGTCTAGCAAAGACCTTCATGCTAGGTGATCCAAAAAACATCAAAAAGCAAAACCCACATGCTGCTCAGTTTTGAAACTACATGTTGGGGCAACCGAAAACAATCGGAAACACCTACAGACCTACAGGGATCAAATGTTCAAAATGTCTTGGCAAGACTCTGCAGGCTCTGCCAGAGTCGAAGTGTGAATCTTGGATGATGAATTGACACTTAGACACGAAGCACCACAACATAATATACCCTGGAAGTCCAGGGACTCAAAAAGAACGTCCTCATGAAGATCCGTAGAAAGTGGATCAAAAAGGAACGTCCATGTAAAATCCTCATCATGTACCTTTTGAGGTCCCGGACCTCAAAAGGAACGTTGCTATAAACATCCTTTTGATGTACCTTTTGAGGTCCCGGACCTCAAAAGGAACGTTGCTATAACATCCTGTTGATGTACCTTTTGAGGTCCCGGACCTCAAAAGGAACGTTGCTATAACATGCTATATAACGTGCTATAATCGTCTTTGCATATTGATAAGCTGTCCAATTCGTGATGATCTACTTGGGATGCACTTCTTTTCTGGGGAACAAATCCCATCATGATCTCGTCATCGTGTCCTTGCAACCAAAGATTTCGAATTCATTCATCAGGTGGATTCATTCATCAGGTGGATTGACTATATGCTGGTATGGGATCTGTTATATTTGGCCATAGACCCATGCACTCATGATGGGAACCGCCCCCCCAAGTTGGAATCATGCTATTTTCATCATTCCTGCTGCTCTTGGCTGTGGCTGAGTGGATTTCAAAACGGTATATAGGGGGCCATGCATGCTTCGGTTGAAACGGGCGCTTAAGCGCTCAAGATTGCGGGACTTGGATGAAAAGCTCCAGCATGATCTTTACGGCCCTCAATGTGGTGCTGGCTTGATTGAGCTGCTGGTGCTGATCCTTGAATGATGGGATGGGGGATGGCCGTTTCTTGACACCTGTTCCACGCAGCCGCCCTTTTAGATCACCACTCCCGATAGCAACAGTTCTTGCTAGATAATGCAGAGCCATGCCTCGAAGCAAGGCAGACGCAACACTTTCTGAGCAGTTGAAGGATAGGGTGCAGGGTCATTGGGAAAAAATGTTAGGTGATTTTGGGGCTAGGATCTTTTCATCAACACTTGCAAGAATACGAAGCTACTGTGGGAAACAACCGTTTTGAATGAGCCCTGCTTTGCAAACAGGAGTTCTACAGATCCTTCTTCAAAGATCCAAACTTCAAGCTCGAGAGGTTTCATCAACTGGCCAGGAAGAAACACATTCCTGCTGCGATGGTTTCTCAAGCCCTCGAAAAAAAGAAGGTTCGGTTCTTGGATTTTTTGTTGAATCTATACATGTTCGGTTCCGTAGCAAAGACCCCGCATAGAATATTTTTAAAAGCTAGCGTCGACTGGCACATGTAAAAGTGCTGAAATTCGCTCAATCCCGTTCCCCTTCCAGGCACCGTGTCTCTTTACCTTCTTGAACTTCAAACCCAATGAGAGTTCTTTCAAAGCGGAGGATGTCTGGGCCCCCAGAGTTTTTAGCTGGTGACATGGGGGGCGGTAGTGGTGATTCAGAGGATTAATTGTTATTGCAGCACGAGGCTGAAAATGCCATGTTCCCTATCGACATACCCGACTTAAGACTTGTGTTTCCGAGTTTCTGTAATGTGGTGTCAAGTTGCATTGCAAGGTCAAGGACGAACACAACTGTCAGCTGATTCTCAAGCTCCTCGCGACGATCGGACTGACAGTGCCTTCAACTCCCCATGTGTCAAGGGCACTGGCGGTTGTAGCGAAGGAAGAGGATTTGCTGGGGGACACTGCTACAACTTTAGACATAGAGGCATGTAGATGGGATTGGGTTGTGCCGTGCGTTTGTTTTCAAATTTTCATCAGGATCAAAATCACCCATGTGAAGATATAGACATGCATATAAAAAAGTATCCTGCTGTGCCACCCGTTTCAAACGTAACCCATCCTGTCAGGCATGGTCGGACCAGGAAGCTGACCTTCACAGGGGGCTGATGCAGTATGCCATCCGCCGGACTGGTCGCAACCCCGATTCGAGGAGCATTTCAATTTTTTTAAGTTGGGCAACCTGTTGCCAAATGGTGAATCACCTGTGGGCTTGCCTGTATGTTCTATGTGAGCCAAAATTCAATCCAAACCCAAGTCGAGATCAGGATAATGCTATAATTTTCTGCTTCCAACGCAGGAGTTGGGATGCCAACATGTCGAAAATCAAAGGCATGGTCAAAGAGCTGCAGAAGGAGCACAACCCGACTCTGCACCGAAAGAAGAGCAGTAAATCTACTGGTGGTGATGAGGGGAAAAATCTTTCCAACAAAGAGGCTCCCAGTGCTGGATCTACTGGATCTACAAAGTTAACTGGCAAGTCTGGGATGGGTAAGCTATCTAAAGATGACATCAAGTATTCCAAGACCCTGGCGTTGGGAGAGTGCAGCCTGGCCAATGAAGCATTGGAAAATACACATTAACGGGTACGAATATCTGGTCCCTCATATTTTTGTAGATCTGTGCATCCAGCGCTTTGCAGCCCAGGCACGACGTCATCCGAATCCGAAAGTGAACTTGGAGAGGGTCACAGTGAGCACCCAGCCGAAGAAGAAAGCCTCACAAACGATGAGTGTGTGAGTCTTCTAGCTCAATTTCGTCCATGTGCATGCCCCTGATGGAGAAAGGATATCAATAGTGTGCTGGTGTACTATGTATATATGCGTGTGCCCTACACAGTCCACTAGAATTTCTACCAACCGATGGCTTCACCCAACACGGATCAATCCGAGCAACGCCCCTGATGCCCATAGAAGATGAAGCTGCCCAGGCCCTGGGGATCCAGCTGGCGGTCAACACCCAGATGCCGGTAAGCCAGAGATCCCGAAGGAATTGGGCGTGTTCTTCACTTTGTGGCCATGTGTTGGGAATTAAGTCATAACTTGATGGGGAGATGGTGGGGATTGACAGCCTTGACATTTTTAAAATTGGGGGTGATGTGAGCGGATGCTATCCTAATCGGGGCACTTTGCTAATGCATCATGCCACTGCCCCTAGTGCAGAAATCATGGACATCATCACATGGTCATCCAGATTTTTGAATTTTTAGTTGGCCCACGCAACCCCCCAAAAATTGCTCACTACGATCTGTCCCTGGGAATACATTATGACGCAGTTTTTTTTGAAGGACCTGAAGAAAAAGCTTTGCGATCACACTGGGTCATGTCGATATATTTCCAAAATAGCGCGAATGATGTTAAATTTCCAACTTGACCAACTCGACCGGAGAAACCCTTTCCAGTACGATCTGTCCCTGCAACTTTGCTGGCCGCTGCAGAAGCTTCGATGGATACTCTTCGCCAAAATGTGGGGGAAAACTCTGATTTGATGAAGGCTCCATTGCATCGGTGCCCCTGAAGTTTGATCCTCATCGCCTCCCAAACTATTGCGGTTTTGGGTTTTTAATATTGACCGACCACCAGAATAGGAGCTCGCAGTGAAAAAACATAAGGGTGGTTTGAAAAGGATCAGCCCCAAAAACGATCTCCCATATGCCTTTTACATAGCCAAAATACATTCGACCTATATTATATTATATCTATTCGCATGCATATTGGGCAACCTCCATGGGCAACTACATGGGGCGTACTTCCGCTTTAGCCCAATTTCTTCCACCCCATGCATCACGCAGGTCCAGCAGAAGATGCGACAAGCTGCAGCATCTTTCCAGCCTGCTGCTGGCCCAGCACCTGGCGATGCGCCGAAGGCATCCAGGGGAAAGGGCAAGGGCAGAGGTAAAGGGAAAGGTAGAAAACAAAAGGGTTCGGAGGATGAAGGCAAGGAAGGCAAGGACGAAGAAGAACAGGAGAATAGTGCCGACGGCAGCGATGCCGACTTAGAGGAAGAGGACCAGGAGATTCGAAAGGAGTTGTCAGAAAGTGAGGAAAACAAAGGTGAAGGGAAGACAGAAAGGAAGACACCCAAGCGATCCAGGTCGTCCAGTTCCCCTCGCCAGAAAAAAACCAAAACCAAAACCCCAAAGAAGACTCCTGGCCGAAAGCGAAGAACGACGCCCAGAAAAAGGAGAACCCCAAAGCTGAAAAGGGCTCTGAAAGGTGCCGACCAAGACGTTTCTATTCTGAATTATAAGCGATGATTTTTTGCTGTCAGTATGCCCGCTTACCTTTTTTTGCTTAGAACCCAAGGCTGGGACAGTGCTGAAAGAACATGAGGAGGCCAGCAACAGTTTCCGTTTAAACCCAAATTTTTCTAAAACAGGCCACACGAAGTTATAACTGTAATTCAGCCAGCTCTATGCCGACTTTATTGCTAGACCGTTCCTCATCGCACATTATTACTGGCATTTATGACCTGGTTGCAAGGCCATTGAAAAGTTTCGACGGGAAGCGGCTGAAGAGATTCGAGATGACAGGTTTGTGATCCCCACGGATTTGGCCAATGTGAAGCTACTAGCTAGCACAGCCTTTATTGCGCCAAACAAGACATATGATCAATTAGTTAGCGTTCAATCTGCCAGCCCGTTCCTTAGGTCATTCACCCTGGCGCCCTTGACTTCCAAGGGCCCTAGCATTGGGGTCTTGCCACTGGCCGGATCACTGGTGAGTTCAGATCTGAATATGTGATTCTAACCCCTTCTTCCCACATGCAAAAATCCCATCGGTTTTTGATTGAGGTTTACAGTGCGTAGCTTCTTCGTGGGTCGCGTGGAACAAGCTGAAGTGGATGCAATTATCCAGAAAATGGGGGGGCCTAAGTTGAAGGTGGGGAATCACCATGTTGAATCAGGGCAGTGTTAACTACAAATATTTGTGACCATTTTGCCCCGTATGCAGGTCAATCCATCGAGGGCATCAGTTACACTTTCCTGGGCAAAGCATGGTGGAATTGGCGAGTCGCCGGGGTCTCGGACTTGAGTTGGGCAGGGCAGGATGTTTCTCCGGACTTGGATGACTACCCGCCCAAACCACCTGGCCTCCCAAATTGTTCTGCATTTGGTCCACAAGAGCTCAATATTCCTGTGAGGTGGCGCAAAGCATGTGCTATCGCTGGCTGGAACGAACAAGGTGGGCTGGGGTCAGGGGGTATTTTCTTCTTTTAATTCCGCCTACTTACAACAAAAAATCAGCATGTCACTCCCAGGCTAAAGGTGATGTGGTCAATTGATGAACTTTTGGCAAGTCCCTTTGGCAAAGCTGATTATTTTTACACCAGCCACGTTCAACTTTATTACGAAGGAAGTTGGCACAATGTTGAAAGCACTCCTGACCAGGCTAGAATCTTTGGATCTTCGTGGCAAGGACAGGCGCGGTGCGGTGTGAGGAAAATGGGCGCCCAACTCAACCCATGCCATGTCGCGACCATTGGCATGAATTTGCCACACCAATAGCATGACATTCATGGACGACATTTTTCTTGCAGCAGGTATATCTTCCCATCGTGAACTGATAGGTGACAAATATGCTGTTAGTAAGGAAAAATATCGATTGAGAACGGTGCCATACACATACATGGCCAATGCAAAAACCTATGCGGCCACCAATATTTACCACCAATGCCACCAGAAATGAATGCTATTAAACCCTCTAGAAGTGGAAATTGGGTTCATCATATATATAAAACCATATATATGGGCATTGTGACTCATTTTCTTCGACGCCATGACGGGTGCCCTGGGTCTCACTCGTACCCAATGTGCTTTGCTCCATGCGTGCTGCTTGCCATTGGTTATGTCTCTCGATGCAAACAGTTTTGAATTGCAAATTTTCCTCTTGCCTTGCTCCCCAAAATCCAAAAAACACGAAAAAGGGACCCCCCCCAATTTTTTGTTTGCACTTTCCCTTGGTGGGGGCTTTCTTTAGAGGGACAAACCCACAGGAAAACTGATAGTTTTAAATGTCAGTTTCAGGTTCGTCTCCATTGTTTGCTTTCCGGTTGTGAGGTTATAGAAACCCTCTGGGTGATTTTGGCATGTTTTGACGTATTACATGGATGTCCCCGTTTGGAAACACATCAGGTTCTCCCATTGGCCTTCGGCCCAGGTTCCATGCCATAGACTACGTCGACCAGATCTCTTCCCAGAGCAGCGCTGTGAACCGCCGTGCCAAGTCCTTGGTTAAAGCATGGCATATTATTTCATCGATCGTGGTTCTACTTTTGGAAGAATTGATCAAGCCACCCCATCACAGAGCATCTCTACACATATTCCAAAGGATTTCCAATTAAGCCCTCCTGTTTAGGCTTGTTATGAAAAAAAAGATATCCTCCCAACATCCTGGTATATGACGTTCTGATTTCAACATGGTCAAGCCAGCTGGCCCAGGGTCATGTCACAAGCTGCGCCCAGGATGTGGACTGCCTGGATGCCTTTTGTGGCAAAGGAAGGTCAATCAGTGCTGGGTTCAGCCGATGCCTCAATTGCAGCGTCGCGTATCCAGCCACAAACCTGGATGTGTAATAATTAACTACCAACAGAAGTTGAAAGTCCTTACTTCCCCACCTGCCAGGTGAGGGTTGTTAGATTTTATCAGAGCTGTTCTCCTCATCCTCCTCCTCCTCCTCCGCCTCCTCCTCTTCCTCCTCCTCCAGTTTCTCCTCGACCATGTCTGCATCAACTTCCACGTCCACTTCCGCCTTGCCAACTTGTCTCCAATCTCTTCGCCAACTTCCGCGCGCAGTGGGCACTGCTGGACCTCAACTGCCGGCTGCCGATCTGAGTGGGCACGGCTGGACCTCAACCGCAAGGTTCCGAGCGCAGTGGGCACCGCTGGACCTCAACCAGGGACCTTCCGAGCCCAGTGGGCACCGCTGGACTTCAACCTGGGACCTTCAGAGCTCAGTGGGCACCACTGGACCTCAACCTGGGACCTTCCGAGCTCAGTGGGCACCGCTGGACCTCAACGGCGAGATAGAATGCCAGAAGATATGCCAGATAAAGTGCCAGAATGTTTGCCAGATAGAACGCCAGACGATTTGCCAGATAGATTTCCAGATAAATTGTCAGAATGCCAGAAGATATGCCAGATAGAGTGCCAGAAGATATGCCAGAACATATGAGAATGCCAGAAGATATGCTAGATAGAATGCCAGAAGATATGCCAGATAAAATGCCAGAAGATTTGCCAGTAAAAAATGTATAAATGTCATGGTGGGGATGACTCGAAGTAAAGTAATTTGTAATTTTTTGAAGGCACCCTTTTTATCATTTTTGGGCCCAAAATTAGAAAAGGCCAACTTCGAAAAAAGACGCGGATATCACCCCAAAGAGCGTTGATGTGAGATCCGATCTGCCCAGGGGGACTGGGACGGAAGACGCCCTCTCCTCAGGCTTAAATTGAATTTGTGAAAGTCATACTAGGCAAACTTTTTCATTTGCAAGTACTGGAATGGAACACCAAAATTGATTGATCATCTTGTTATTCTCTTTGCGATGATTTGAAAAGTGTCAGTGTTGGGGATCGAAAAGTGGTGGTCCCCTGCTTGTCTATACCATTCCCAGGTTGGATTTCGATATTTTGCGACAAGGGCAGGACAACGATATTACCACTACGCTGGGTCCTCGGTCAACCATAGAACAACGTGTTGAAGTACTTGGTGGGTACAAAGCAAAACCACTCTTTGAAGGACGGCGACCACAACTTCCAAATGCATACTCAAATACACATGCATCTTGATTTAATAGAATCGAAGACATTTGCACATCCATGTTGGGCCCCATTCAGCCTATCTCGACTTTAATTGTTATAAATGTGTCCGAATCCAACGTTTGATTCGCAAATGCCAGAGGCTGTCAAATGGCAAGCGGCCCAATTTCAAATCTTCCTCCCTGGCGACAAAGGCATGGCTACCTGAAGTTGATACAGCAGGCGCTCAGGGTTCGGCCAGATGGACTTGGAGCATTTGGCATACCATGTGGGTCCTATATCTTTCTGAATTCCCCAACGCATCAACGGGATGCTGCACATCCGTTTGGAAACGAAGACCTGGGTTACATCCAGGTCGCTAACTTGTCAATGCCTGAGTTTGCTAGCAAACGTTTACAGTTGCAGCCAGCTTTTGGATTCACCCCACATTGATTCTAGAATTGAGTTGTCTTTCACGTGATCGACTTTTCCCCAAGGATCGGATGTCGGACGGCACTGGTCCTCATCATCCTACTATGCCGCGCAGCATACATATTTGTGGAGCAGCCACAAAGCTCTAAGCTCTTTATGGTCCCGTACTATGTGTGGATCCAGGAGATGTGCAAAAAAATTAACATCACTCTTCACAATTCCTTTTTGCCAGAAGCCTAGTTTGAGAATTACGAATCACAAGGCAGAATGGCTAAGGCTTAGCAACACATTGATTGCCCATTGTTCGCCCGTCCCCAGCTTGATGCTAAGTTGGATGGGAAGTTTTGGCCACTTCGCATGCAAGCCATCTCGTGGCTGGGGGACACCGTCTGTGCCTCACTCTTGGGCCGTGTTGCTGAGAAATGGATCGCCCCCGGACATTTCCAGCTCATAGATGTTGGCTCAGGCCTTGGGTCCCACGTCTCTTTCTGAGGATGCCCTTGAAGCTTCGGAAAAAGCTAGGGTTGTCTAGTGCTGGAGTGACAGTCAAGAAAGTCAACAAGGATGGCAAACGTACAGTGCCACTTGCCTAGATATTTTGCTGGTGGGTGTTGTCTCAAACCTTTTCCTATATGCCACATATGGCTACTAGGAACCATCCAGAATTTGTTTCTGGAACCAGGACGGGATGAAATTCTACATGGGCTGTCAAATATACCACCCACACACGATTTGCTTGCTGAGGTCAGGTGGCCCACGCTTGCGACAGAGCGAGGAATACCCAAAGGGTTTCGGACGTGCTCTGGCAATTCGACATGTCTTCGGGAAGGAGACCGGGTCAGTGGATTTTATGGTTCGACGGGAAAGGATGAGAATTTGTTTTATCAACAACAATTTTCATCATCGCACATTTTCGGGGATCCTCATTTTCTGTTTTTAGCCGAAATCACCAACTCCCATATATACCTGCTACTGTCCAAGGTTCTGTTCCCGTAACCCACTTTAAGACAAATCTCAAAATTAACCTGCAGAACCGTGGTAAACATTCCTTGTACCGTGCAGAACATGAAGAAACGTTCGCTCAAAATGGCCCTTTCCATGACGGCCAAGAAGCTTCAACCTCTGAAGGTGCCAGTGTGCCAACTTGCCAGCCGGAAGGGCTTTTGGATGGCCTCCAACTGTTGGTGGTTTTTGGAATTACCTGGTCTCAAAAAAGCGGCCATTTTCTCCTAGGTTATGATTTATTGTTTTGGGATGCCGGATTCATTTCCATTCGGTTTTCCAAATTTGCCCAATGATCGGCAAATTTTCAATGGATAGGTAAACTGGTCTTTCACCCTTATGTGACATAACATTATATATGCGTTAAAAGATTTAATAGCCAACAGATCATAATGGTGGTAGTACGGATATGGAAATTGGTATTTCTCAAAATGGGGGATGCTCGAAAATGTTCGAAATCAACCCATTGCGAACATTTTCGATCATCATGTTTTTAAACAATTATACTCCCAAATCCCAAATATAATTGACACCGGTTTTCAACAAGTGCCCTGGGTAACTATATTTTTTAGACCTCAAAAGTATTTCAGGTCACCTGGTGAAAACATATTGTCCAACTATTGAGGGCTTACACATACATAAAATATCCATCATTTCCGATTTCGAACCCCCAGCGTACCGTAGAAGATTGAGATACCACCAAAAAATAGCACCTAAAATCAAATCACTGGCTAACCCCCTCGCTGCTGCCAGGATGACCTGCCACCTCCAAATGATTGGAGCCATGCCAACTTAGAACCGTTGCAGCAGTTCCTGAGAGAACAGGCTGCAGCAGGAGCTTGGTGCCCCCGATTCAGTGAGGGCTTGTAGGCACCAAATGGTCTATGGGGTACGTTGCAAAAAGCAACAGCTAATTCTCAATCAAAACAGAACCGGGGTGTACAGCTGTGTGTTTTCATATGGCATCCAAAAAACGAAGTGTGCATGCATGCATCATTTCTCCACATTGCAAAGTGTCCAAAATGAGGACAAATCTAGAATCGTGAGATATCGTGAGTTTTCGTGAGTAGGACCCTCTAAAAGGACCAAAAAGGAACGGTTAAGGCCCTAAAAGGTACATATAGCGATCTAAAATCGTGAGAAAATCGTGAGAAATCGTGAGTGCATGCATCACATTTTCATTTTTCTCCAGCAGTGTGATAGATCAAAGGTCTTGACAAACTCTAGGGCCGGCCTACAGTTTGGGGTCCGCCATGGCTGATGTTCAGAAGCTCCTAGATCAAGGGAAGCAATCCCGGATGGCTTTGATTGAAAAACGGTTGTCTCCAACAGCGTTGGGGGCTTGATGCATGATACGAAATGGAACATGTCATAGGAACGGTGGATGTTCCACGAGAACTGATTTAGGGTAGGCCTCTGGCTCTCACTTAGGTCAGATTCCCAGACCACTATTCCAGCAGGCAATGCTTCCAAAAATCATTTTCGAAAATATATATTAGTACTGCCGTTGTCTTTGCCCATGCGCGCAGGTGAGACACAAGACTTACCTGACACGCTTCCAGCGACCGACATGGAGGTTCAAAACGCGTTGACAGGCAAGGGAGAGAAGGGCTCTAAGAAGGAAGAAGCAAAGGAAAAGAAAGGAAAGAAGGAAGCCAAAGGAAAGCATAAGAAGACGAAAGAGGCTAAAGGAAAGAAGGCACATAAGTCGAAGAAGAGCAAGAAGACGAAAGTCTTGAAGAAAGGAAAGACGTCTAAGGGGTCGAAGTTGAAGGGAAAGTCAAGCAAGGCTTCTGTCAAGAAGGGGAAAGATGGACTTGCCAAAAGAGACTTGCAGAAAGAATTCGACAGAGCAGCTTTGACAGAGCAAGTGCCAGCCACTCAGCCAGACAAGAGTTCAGACGAGGAAGGGGATCACGGACATGGACCACGACCCAATTTGGTTGGCTACGTCTACTACTCTGCAAAAGACCAGTGGCAGTTGAAACTTCAAAAGCTCATGGTCGGGGAGGACTACAAGCAGTGCATTGTGGAGGCGGGTGGCTACATACTCTTTTTCGAGGACGAGAACTGTGTGCTGAGCCATCTTCCTGACCGCACCCAATTTCCATTGCGTGTCTTCAGGGAACCTGTGCAGGCACAGGCTTATGCCCAGATTCGCGCTTCGGAAAAGGAACAGGAAGATGCAAAACGACAGAAGCAGGCAGAGACTTTAGCAGCGCAGAAAAAAGTTGAAGATGAGAAGATCTCGCAGAGCGTCGCTGAAGAACTTGCAGACATAGAAAAGAACGCAGCAAAGGCAGCTGAAAAACTTGCAGAGCAAAAGGCTGCTGCAAAGAAGTTGCTTGAAGAACAGGAGAGGAAGAAGAGAGAGATGGTCGAGCAACTGGTGGCGAAAGAGATGGCAGAACGAAAGATGGCTGAAGAGAAGGCAAAAGCGGCAGCACAGCAGAAGATGGTTGAAGAGGCAAAGATCGCAGAAGAAGTCGCGAGGAAGCTCGCAGAGCAGAAGGCCGCAGAAGATGAGAAGAAAGCCTTGAAGGAACTTGAGGAACGACAGGAGGCTGAAAAGATGGCACAAGAGCAGAAGGCAGAGAAGGAAAAGGCAGCGATAGCCCAAGAAGACAACAAAGACGCAGCTCGCAGGATTGAAGAACCGAAGAAAACAGAGGAGGAGGAGGATATCGCACTCAAAGTGGCACAGATGTTGGAAACGGAGAACTTTTCTGACAACCAGCAGAGATACACAAAGATTGTAGAGTTAGTGCGAAAGGCCAAGGGGATGATGGGTGAAGATACGGAACAGGAGAAGAAGGAGGAGGAAAGGAAAGCTGTGGAAGAACTCCTCTTGCGACCTGCAACGATGGATTTGACTACTCCACCGGCCACACCTCTGCCTGCACCGTCACCTATGCCCGCACCATCGACGTCACTTCCGGATACCCCCTTGCCACCCGGCGAGGAAGAGGCTGAGAAGTTAAAGGCCGCGGCTTTGGAAAGACATAAGAAAAGAAATGCGCAGTGGGGTCGCTTTATGAGGACTTTTGTTAGTGGGGGGCCCAACATTTCCATCAAACATTGTGCTGAAAAAATGTCATGACATATTAATGAAACTCTTACTGCAGACAAATCCAGCCAGCTTGTGGCGCTAAGGCACGGCAAAAAAGACACCGGATGACATCAAGGAGCTTGGACAGAAAGCAATTAAGCAGAAAGAAAAGACAGGCACCTGGACCCAGAAATGCCCTATGGGGGAGTGTGTGTGTGTGTGTTCCACCAATGTGCCTTCCCAAATGCCTTAAGGTGACTCCAGCGCGCTTCACGAACTCTTCGAAGAGTGGATCACTTCGGGTGAAGAGTGGCGGAAATCGCAGCTGTTTATCCGCATCCAAAACAACAACGGGACGATTGACAGTGATGCCCGGGGCTGGGTTTCCGTAGCAGAGTTGGAAGCCAAGCTGGGACCAGCAGGTGCTGATTCCATGATTACTTTCTTGGAAGCCACCGCCCCGGAAAAGTGCCGAGATCACCCTGATGCCCCGGGGGTCAAGGACACGTCCATGCATGTGTATAGACAAAACAAGATCTAGTAAGCCAGGTCCCACATGGTCTATGCCACTTTGTTTTCAAAGGGCCATGCTTACCATGTTAGATCACCTTCATCGCCATCCCAGGAGTGTCGACAATACAATGTGCTGATCAAAGACGAGATGGAAAAACGAAAGGAAGATTGGGTGACAAAGACTATGGAGTGCAAAGACGGCAGCTCTTCAGACTCTAGCTCTGAAGGCCCAAAGAGAAAGTCAAAGGGAAAGAAGGCACCAATGGGGGTGGTATCTGCAGATCATTTTTTAAAGCCATGACCATTTAGAATTTTACGCTGCTGATTTTCCAACATCTCAAGCCATAAGAACCCTTGAACATCCCGGCCCTCTTTCAGTCATGCCAGCCATGACGCGCAAGCAAGAAATTATAGCATGCTTGCGGGTGGTTGCCTGTGAGAAAATTTGTCTTTCTTGCTGGCTCCCAAATCTTATTCCGTACTTGGACCAGACACTTGGCTCAAGGTTCAGAAAATACTATTCTTACCTCCTTTCTGGGGAAGGCGGCTGGGAGACATCATTGTTTTTTTACAGCAACAAGAAATCTCAGGACATCAGTTTCCCATGTCAAAAGCATTTCCCGGGACTGCTCATGTGATGAACTGGCATCGATCGAACTGACCCGATTGGAGACTGAGTTGGCACATTCGCCTGACGGCTGCCAGTGTAAAAAAAAATGATGGACCAACATATGTACAGCAGCTTCTACCATTATAATTCACGAATTATGGGGTGGCTTACCAATCCCCTGTCTGAGTACCAGTGCACCATGCCGGTCAAAAGCCCGCGCTGCCAGTAACAGTGATGCCAAGGTTCAATGCTAATGCATCGAGCCGCTCAGGCAGTAAAGGTCCAGAAGAATTGCATGCAGCCACACCTTGGATTTTCATTCGTTGGTTGCGGGCGGGTTATATGGTCAATCTACCAGCTTTATCGATCATATCTCGATATATCGCTATCAGATGTCTACGTATCTTTCAAACACCATCTATCAGTGCCTTCAAAACACGGAGGCCGCATTTTGTTTGGTGACCATTGTCAGATCGCACCATGGCAAGTATAACACCACATCGAGAGAGAGAGAGAGATAGATATATGTGTGTGTTTTCCATTGGCAGCAGGAGAAGAACCAAAAGGCAGGAAAAGATGATGCTAAGTCCAGCAAGCAGTGGGAAAGGAAGATCGAAAAGGCGCTTTTTTGAGGGTTCCAGTCAATGTCTCTCCGGTTTGGTTTTGGTTAAGGTTTGATGGTGAACTCACATTTATTTTGGAAATAATTTTACAATGTCCCAGCACAAGGATGCAGAAACCCCGCGCGCAGGCGGTGAAAAATGCAAACAAGAAAATCGAAGCTGCAAACGACATGGATATGACCCAGTTCCCGTGCCTCTGGCGCATGAAACCTGCCCCAGTGTACCAGGGACTAACAAAAGACATATATGCCAAACTCATCGGAAATATATTCCAGATCCAGCCTTTACAACAATCCCAAGTTCTTTAATTCCAGCGGTCTTGTGATTATACCTTTTTTATGGGACCAAGATTTACCCCAGGTGTGACAATATCAGATCTACCGGTACCAGCGTTTAAGCTATTTTTCCAAATGGGTTGAACAAACGCCTGTTCTGGTTATTACGGGATGGTTTGTGCAAAATCAAAAGCACCGTTGTTTTCCCGAAGCACTGTTTTATCATCCCTTCCGTGGAGTGGACGGGGCACGTCTATAAAATTTCCATCGAAAAAAAAAATCACTTCCTGCTGAATACCATGCACAGGGGTTAAATTTGTAAATGTCAGCCAGGGCCTCCCAACAACCAGCTACTCCCATTCATCCAGTCGATTCAGGAGTGACAGCATCAAGAAAGCTGTTGAAGATGAAGTTGCCAAAGCGTTGGCGTGCGTCAAGGCACACATGGAAAAGCTTCAGAGCCTTGATCTGGAGAAGGCCTTGGATTCGGGGCAGATTCGGGTTCGAATTATCAGTCTATCATCCACCAACCAACTTAAAACCACGGGGTATCCTCCTTGTCCCAGTGCTTAGCTACTAAGGGGTCCTTCACAGTTTGAACAGGTCAGCGAAGAAGATGTGACCCTGAGTTTGACCAGCGTAGCTGATGCGGCTACCGCCCTAGGGGATCTGACCAAGTCAAGCCCAAAACGCAAAAGCGGGGGCGCTGATGCCAAGTCGAAGCCAAAGGCTAAGAAAGCCAAAAAGTAGGCGTATGACTGTAAGATCTGTCTTTTTGAGGGGTTGCACTGGCGCCTGGCCACCCTGAAATATATTGTTTTGGGACTGGGGTTCAAACATTTTGCAACCGCTCCACCATCCCATGCAAGTCAAGTTTCGTTTTGATGCCAGAATATGCCGTGCCAGTGCATCGGCCAGACCGATGCTGCTGTGAACCGCCTGCACAAAGTGCACAATTGGGGGTGCATAAGCACAGGCCTAGAACATGGTGGTGTTGGTTTGGCTGGTCTGCCAAATTTCCAGAACTATAGGTCGTATCGACCGCAATCTCTAGTCACTAGCCATTTGGATGGATCGATGGCTGAAAGGTGAAACCAGTCGCAGGAGAAACAAACATGGGGAAGCTTTCGGGGCCGCCAAACTGTGTTTCAATTGACCACTCCTGACCGACCCCCAAACGACCATTGTTTCAATACGTATATAGGGGGGAGCAAGATTTTACAAACATTTGAACTCTTGTTTGGGTCAAAGCGCCGTGCTACTCACATGTGGGAATCTTCCACGCCAGGTGAGCAGGGCGCACAGCACCCACATCTCTTTGAAAACATGCTGTCCGAAATTGGTGATGGGGTGCAGTCCTCAGACATCTTAGCCCTTGATGAGGACCAGTGCTGTTTGGCAACCACCAGGACCATGCAACTAACTGTTGGAACCAAAAACCATCATACATTAAAAGGCCCTTTGTCATGCTATGTCGACGCATTAATTGTGCAACTTGCTCCGAACCTGAGGCTTCAAGCATCGCGAAGGAGATGCGCACTGCAGCCGCTGCATGCCAGGAGCCCGCAATAAGCCATGGCATATGGCCGGTGAAACTGCAATTTTGTGGTCAACCTTGGGTTAAAACCTTTCTGGTACATCATCATATTTTCGAATTCGGCACATCTTTTTTTAAATTGAAACTCCGTAGGTACTGATTCTGATCCCCTTTTTTCCCAGTAAAACCCTAGTTCAATCTTTGATCCACCCACTTGACATCCCCAATGCATTTGCAGGAGTCTGGAAACAATTTGGCCCCAGTGACGGTCAAGCTTGGGAGCTATTCGAAATGGAACCAAAGTCGTGACTTTGGTAGGGCTGTGCAACTGCCTCTGGACTGGTTTTGGGCGGTGCTTGGTTGATTTGGGGTTTAAGCGGGTTTTAATTTTAAAAGACATTTGTCCCCTGGGGCCCCTTACAAGGAAAAGTAAGTTTTAACCTATCATGATAATGTTTCAGGGGGTATCCTTCGCAGGAGCGTACCTACGTGGAATGCCCGGTGCCGACTCACAGGGAATCGTCCAAAGACACCTGGAAACACAAGATGATCCCCATGTATGACCCGCATTTGGTTCTAAGCTACTTGTTTGACGAGGTCGGCCTTGAAATTGATGAGGAACAAGTTCGTAGCTATTGGCAAAGCGCAGCTGAGAGGGGCTGCCCTTGGGCACAAACTGAAGATTTTGACCGCGTTCCTGTGAATCTATTCGGGGACGACTGTGTTTATGACGAGCGCCTTACCAAGGCCTATGCCATAGTCATGTCACTTCCATTGTGGCGCCCCAAGGCGGCTCGGAATTCCAGGTTCCTTTTGTGGGTGCAGAAATCTTCGGAATTTGTTGGTTTTGAAGGCTTGCAGCCTGTACTTGCTCGCATGGTATGGTCTCTCAATATTGCATACGACCAACGGCTCCCAAAGAGTGGCCGCCGATTCTGCGTCTGTGAGATCGGTGGAGATTGGGCATGGAATAGATTTTTTTGGCAAATTGAGCGCCATTGGAACAGCTTGAAGCCATGTCCTTTCTGCGACGTTCAGAAGTTTGGGCCGCAAGCCTATTCGAACCTCCCGGATTTCTCTTGGAAATCGAATGTGGATTTTCTTTCAACAATTGTGGGCTCTGGAATGTCTCATCGGGTAAACCCTTTGATTTTGCTCAGAAATTTTCATGTGAGCTTGATACAGCCATGCCAACTACACAACTTGAATCTTGGGTTGCTATGGACATCGAATGGGGCTGCAATAGCTACGTTCGGCGAGCTGGGGTTTTGGGGAAACCCGAGTACGAGTCTAGCACTTGTTTTGGAAACTGCTTGGGACGACTTTGTGCAGTTTATGAAGCAGGAGCACAGGTACTGTTCACAGAGCAAGTTCACAATAAAAATGATTTTCAAATCCTCCCATGGTGCATACTTTAGCGCCAAAGGTCACAATTCTCGTGTGTTGGCTGATTGGCTGGCAGATTGCGCCGAGCGGGCATGGAGTTCGCGCTTGGGTGAGGGCAGGCATTTTGGTGCTTGGCTTCAAACACAACCGAACTTATTGCAGAGCGCGCTGCAGAATGAGCAGTTGGCTCCACTTTGTTTTTCTCTGACGCTTATTGTCAATTTAATCGCGCTTATTTTTTCGGGCGTCACCGGATTCAAGGAATATTGAAACCCTGCATTCACGTTATTAATTAACCTTATTGCAAAAATGGATCATGGTGGTTTTCAGGGATAACGCTTTTGGTTTGCAGAATTTCTCACTGCTGCAACCCTAGCCAAGGATTTCAATTTCACGGTATATGGCCTTGAGTGACCGTTTTCCTCGGTTCTTGTGCCTTAGCTGAGTTCAATTAAAACATGAAAAATACCCCCATGGTATAAGGACTTATGCTACACATTAAGTCTATTGGGGATTTGAAGATTTTGATGACCCATAGTAAGGAAACCTATAAACCAACCATTATAAGGAGATGGGATAGGCGATAGGGGAATTGCTCAATTGTGGGTGATGGTGGGTGCCACCAAAAATTAATCATGGGAATTCACATTGGGTGTTTATGTCAAATTTGTGGTTCCAAATTCACATAACCTCTCATTAGTCCCGCCTATATCCCAGAGTATTGCCCCAAAATTCTACTTAGCCTGCTGCTTTGCTGGGGCCACCAAGGACCGAAGCGCAAGCGACGGAGCTTTGCGAGCTGGGCGATGGGTATTTGCGTGCACATGCATGCCTCAACCAAATCTCCATGAGGACGGCGCCTTTTTGTTT